ATGGCTCTGGGCTTTCCTATTAGAAAGCCCAGCATGATTTGCAAAAAGTGCCATGAAAGCACCATGTGATCATTATCTGTGAAACAATCTATAAAACATAATTTTCTGAACATGTAAACTCAAAGGACATAAAACAGTATAGCTTCCCACTAAGCAGTGAGGCTTCCAGGGCATGGGGCAATTTGCCTTTTGTCCTATGGTTTCAGTTCATGCCAGTGGAGTGCATTGGTGTGCACTAGAACATTTTTTTGTGCAGTGCATTCCAATGCGCTGTAATGCATGGCAAAGCACTGTGCATAAGAATTGTTGGAAACGCAGCAGCATATACTGATATAGTTCTGTAATGTCTTTTGAGCTGTAGATGGCGCTGTAGTGCAGTGTCAGTCTCTATGTGCATGTTTATCTAAGATACACAGGAAGCTTTTTTTATTTTCTCGTTTTCCTCACAATGCTACATACATACATACATACATACATACATACATACATACATACATACATACATACATACATACATACATACATACATACATACATACATACATACATACATACAATGTTCTTCTAAACAAGTAAAACTTAGTTCAGCATTCCTCAAGATCTCTGTGCTCCCTCTGAACACATAACCAAGAAGAATGTCATACAAACCTCCCACCAGCACACACATCATGCACACAGTACATCTTGCTGGGTGGTGTGAATGAGTTCTTCAATTGATATTTGCTGTTGCTTTTTATTCCTGGCAGCATGTTTGGTTGGAAGTCAGCTGACCACAACCGGCATTATCACAATGGCCACCGCTGATGTCAACTGCAGCTCCGTCAATACCACTGAATGCACGGTGTGCTCACCTGGTACCTACCCTAATAATGGTAAGTGTGCATATCACTAGAATTGTTTATAAACTGCTCTATGCATATAAGGTTAGGGGAAGACGTGGTCAGTTGTCTGCCAGACACACAGTACTGTGTTGCCGAAGCCGTTCGCAGGTACCCGGTGAAAGTCCAGCCACAGCTGATATTTAAGTTCTAGGTGGTGCATGGCGGCAGTCTGAGTCAGTCCTTGGCTTCTTCTATGTATCATCATTTATGATGCCATTTTGTCCCCTTGGGTGTTCCGGCTTCACATATTCTCATGCAGCCTCCTCTATAACGTGTAGCCAAATGTTCTCCATCCAGCTGTGGTGAACTACAAGTCCCATGAAGCATTGCAAGACTTTGACAGCCACAGGCATGACTTCCAGAGGCAGAGACATGGTGGGATTTGAAATTTCACCACAGCTGGAGAACCAAAGTTTGACTATCCCTGCGCTACAACCAGTGGCGTAACAATCACCATAGCGACCAGGCGGCCGCTATAGGGCCCGGGGCACAGGGCCCCATAGTGGGGTGTAACTAGAGGTCAACGGGGCCCCATACAACATTTTGCTATGGGGCCCTGTGATTTCTAGTTACGCCCCTGGCTACAACCAAAATAAATGCAAATGTCCAACCAAAGAAGTATGACCCCCTGGCACATAAACTGACTTGGACCAGGTGGGAGGGGTAGAGCTGCATTCTGGGGCCCAAAGAACAAATGACCCCTTTCTGCTGTTTGTGTGTGTGTTGCTTTGTGTTTGCAGTGGTCTCCTAGCACACCCCGGAAGGTAGACTACTTCCCTTCTTCACAACATGGCCTGTGTGTGTGGCCACTCATCTCTGTGAGGGCGACAGGAACACTTTTGGGCAGCAGAGATCGATGTCAATGGTTTACAGCTGCGATATACAGAAATGTATCAGATTCAAACTTGTTCAAGCTCTTTTTTTTGGTGAATTGGGCTTGGCATGTGTTGTGTGAAGCTGGGTACACACGAAGCGAGTTTGGTTTAATTCGGCATCAATCAGCTGAAATTAGATCCATTGGTGGCCCGGTCCTCTCAACAGAAGTCGAACATTAGATTGACGTTTGCCCAAGGGACATGCTGGAAAATTGTCAGCTGAACGCTTCTTCCAGCCAATTCGCTGCAAACACTGGCCAGTGCGCTGCTGTCAGAATACCCAATGAGAAGTGCTTCTGACCGTGCTGACCAATGAGAAGCGCTTCTTAGCAAGAATGAGTGCTTGCCATTTGCGAGTGGGATTTAAAATACTGACGGCAGGGCTGCACTGCTGAGTGCGAAGTATGGATGGTACACTGGCAGCCGCAGAGGGGAAGGAGCGTTCGCTCCAAGGTAAGAGCTGTGGGGGGGGGATTGATGGGACAGGTTGTTGGGGGTAATTCCATATTCTCAAATTCGCCTGGGAAAGTGGAATTACCCTTTAAAAAAGAATCTTCCCTTTGCCTATTAAGGGCAATGTGATCGGTTCTCTTCACAGGTTGCCTTTCCCTCCTAACTTTGCCGTGCTCCCCCACTGCTCTGATGCCTGGTACTTCTGGGTATGGGCATGTGATGTTCACCACTTCCTCCAAAATGCAGTGCTCAAGTCACAGTCATGGACACACACGTGAATGCGGGCTTAACTGGAATGCCATCACCTCTACAACATGTGCTTTCAAGAGAACCTGTCACTTTGCCCTGAATGGACAAAGTCCCTTTTAAACAATGTGTCATAGTTCATAGAAGGCCTCTCTGCAGCTTTCCATCACATTGCAATCAGCAGTTTAGTAACACTGCGCAGTGACTCCACTCCTGGGCGAACGTGGAGTTTCTGGAGTAGGAGTTAGCGCGGAAGAGGCAGCTCGTCATAATTTAGTTATTTAATCCTCTTCTGTCATATGAGTTTAAATTGGGTGAGTGAGTCAGCTGCATATCTATTTCTGTCCAGATGACAGAATGGAACCATTCACAGTCATTTGGAGACAAACACGATTTGTAGATTGTCCCATTTTACTGGCATGCTTGATCCTTTAAAAAAAAAAAAAAAGAAGGATCGGCGTTTTGATTTGTATGGGTTGGCAGAATCACCTCGGAGTCTTATGTCCCTCAGGATCTCACTCCTCCAGCTCCATTCTTTGTGAAAATCTATCAAAGTGAATGGGACGCCTTGACAAGGAGCGGGCAGAGATCTGAGCACTGGTGTCCCAGATAGAGATAGGAACATGCTAGAGGGCTAAATTACCTAGCAGCTTCCTATAAGACATGCGGAATAACTTCCTCAGGGCAAATGTAATAACGTGGGAAAGCGCAGCATTTGCTGGAAGCCAACCAAAAGAAAAATGTATTTGTTGAGGATGAAATAGAAGCCCCATCTTTCTCCAAGTCACCAAGTCAATAGCCCTCTGTTTTATGGGGAAGAGACTGTGTGCGTTTAATTTTGTGTCAATGTGACCGCAAGTTCAACCATTTGTGGTCAGATTAAAACATTAAAACACAAGTTTATAAACCGGAACTGTTAAGTCATTGCTATAAGAAGAGGTCATTTCTTCTTGCACTGAGCCTGCGTTATTAAAGGTTAAGGGGGAGGCGCAAGTATGTACAGGAAGCCATTTTGAACTGTAGATTGCCCAACAAGCTTGGTAATCTCCATATCTTTTAATCATATGAGTGATGTAAAATACAATACTTCAAAGAGGACCTTCCATGGCAAAGGAAAGGTCCTCCGCTTTCTTGCCACACCCCAACCTCAAACATTTCCATGTGACACCGGTGAAGTCATCTGGGAGCTTGAAGATATTCATTAATTACTGTGTGCGCGCGCACTCTTGTACATGAAACCTTGTTTAAAAAATGAAGCAAAAGACCTCCCAACCGTTCTGGAGTCTCCAGCCTCGGAACTCGCAATACAAAAATGTAATTCTATATAATTTTATGTTAATATTTTTTTTTAAGCAAGTTCCTGGATTAGACTTCTGCAATCCCCTATACATCGGACTAAGAGAGAGAGGACTGGAAGCCTATTCGTCGTGCTGACAAGAAGCTAGAGCAGAGTGATTAGGCCATCTGTCACTGTCCATTCAGCAGGCTGGGAGTGGAAAAGACAACACTATTCCTTTTTTCATACTATAACCTTAACTGGGAAAGTAATGTGCTCCCCTGGCTGTGCTGTCTGTCAAAGCTTTGTTAATCTCAGGACTGAATGGACAGACATACAAATCCTTTGACTGTAACATTACTCCCGTATGTATATACATTTCTTCTGTGTAGTTAGATGTTTGAGTTGAACTCTGAGGTAAGGCAAAACTAACAACTTTTTGTAATGCCATTTATTCCCGACCTTTTACTAGAATGTACCAATCTGATGACACGGCCAACTCATCTTTATGTAAATGTGAACTCGCTAGAAGCATTTCATGCACCTAACAAGCAAGTCTCCTCGGTTTAATTTTTCTCCTCATGTGGTTGAATGTGACGTCCCAGACAGACTGTGAAAAATGTTCTCTTCCATGGTCTTCCAAGGCCCCTTTCACATGGACTGATCGGGGAGGATCTATGCACGGATCCCCTCCTGATCGGAACAGTATGGAGCAGATGTCACTGCTGTGATATCCCTGTCCATCCACTTTTTTTCCTCCATCGCAACTGAGATTACCGAACCCCATGTCGGTCTATGGGGAATTGGATGTAAACGGACCCCCTGTGGGTCTATGGGAAATTGTTCCCCGTCAGGATGGTCCCCCTCCCCCGCCGGCTACCTTTCACGCCAGGTCGAGTCGACAGTGAGAGGAGAGCTGCACTCGCAGCCCTTCCTCTCAGCTGTCACAGGAGTTCTAGCACAGTGCGGTGCTAGAACTTCTGTATTGAGAGTGACAGGTTCATTAAAGAGAACCTGTCACCTCTAAATGCTATCGCACAGGGGCTTGTTAGCTCTTGTGTGATAGCAATAAAGTTAAGTGAAAATAAAAATGCACCTTCGCCTGTGTTGGCAAAGATCCTTGCACCGGCCCTGCAGATTACCTCTGTTCTGGCACAATCGGGTCCTGCAAAATGGAGCTCTGATCCATTTGTTTTTCTGGACCTGGCCGGAGGCGGGGGTAACCAGGTGTAAAGAGACATCTGTCTGTTTATAGTTGAATCAGGTTTATTGAAATTGACAAGAAATATGAACAGCATGTATACATAAACTTAAGGCGATGGTCCAGTAACAAGTGTAGACATGCACAGAGATTAAGGTAGTATTAAACAGTGCGCTCTTGAAAAGGTCTGAGGAAAGTACAAAAAAATATACACAACAGGACTGCATCACGTATCCCCTTTAGGGGGCAGCGCGTGTATTCCGTGGGATACAGAAGGCAGTTTAGCAATGACCAAATAGAGAAAAACATTGATGCTGTATGCACGAATTTCAAGAACTGATCTAAATGCGTGTGTATACAAAGTATACAAGAGAGGAAGAAGAGAGATTCGGAGAATCAGGAAAAAGGAGAGCGGGAGAGAGAAACTAAAGGACTAGCCAAGTAGAGGAGGTAAGTGGGAAGGGTAAAGGGTACTGGCAAGGCATTGAGATTAATCTGGATGACATCTCTCTGTTTAAACACGGCTGCCCATAGACTAACATTGGGAATCCGATCAGGTCCACTTGAAAAACTTACAGGCGGACCCGAAGGGACCACCTTGTGAAAGGGGCCTAATGAAGAAAGATCAGCTGCAGGGAGACCACAGGCAATACTAGTGACTAGTGCTGTGTACTCTAGCTGCCTTTTTATTTTCTGAGCACGGTTTCTAGAGTTCACTTTTCTTTAATGATAAATCAATTAAAAATATCTTTTTTTTTTTTTTTCTTTTTTAATTGGTATAGCTTCACATGATGCCCATTGTCAAAAACAAGTCAAGTGCGTCATGATCATAATCTAATACTGGTTATTACTGATGCACCAATACCGGTATCGGTGCTGATGCTGAGCATTTGCATGAGTACTCGTGAAAATGCACCGCTACCAGCACTTTAATTATTCAAATTAAAATGGCTGCCTTAGGTCCCGTGCATTCTCCTTACCTGGGGACCTTGCGGCAGCTTTCTTCGGGACAACACAGTGCCTGTTTACAGCACTTCTGCCGCACCTTGCTGAGACCATTCGCCAGAGACATCAGGCCCGCAGTACGGAGCAGAGCAGCAGCACAGAGTATGTACAGGTGTGAACTCCACAGCGTATAAAATATTGCCTGCCGTTTCTGTCCTGTGCTTTATTCTGCATTGCTGTATAATGTATTGCTGGGATTTGTAGTCCTCTATAGCTGATGGTAGTATTCTGCATTGCTGTATAATGTATTGCTGGGAATTGTAGTCCTCCTATATAGGATGGTAGTATTCTGCATTGTTGTATAATGTATTGCTGGGATTTGTAGTCCTCTATAGCTGATGTTGTTGTTCTGTATTGTTGGGATTTGTAGTCCTCTATATCCGATGGTAGTATTCCGCATTGCTGGGATTTGTAGTCCTCTATAGCTGATGTTATCATCACGTTGCAGTGAGAGTGACTTTTTGCTAGTTCTATGCGATTTGCAGAGGCATCTGCTGTCGCTGCTGCACCCACCCTGTGTACTCCTGACCGGATTTTTTCCGGTCAGGAGTGCAATGGGACATATCGAATTCCATTTCTTCATGGGACATCTCAATTTGTGCTTTAATTTGCAGATGGTAGGGTCAAAAATTGGCATGCACATCATGAACACACGGGCGCATGCTTTCTTGTGGTGCAGAATGGTGTAATTGGGTGAAGAACTGTTTTCTTGACAAACATCAACATCATCAATCAAATGCTCCCGTCTCCTGAGTATTGTTGGTGACAAGGCGCATCCAGTAGTGGGGGCAATGTGTTTATATAGAACTCGCATACTTATCTGTGGCTTTCCTTCCTACAGATACAGGATTCTGTCTGTGCTGTTCCAGTGGCACCTGTACAAACTCCTCATATTGCTTACCTTGCCTGTCTGGATATTACCAGCCACAAAAGGGTCAAGCTGAATGCCTGCCATGCCCAAGGGGTTTTTATACCAAGTAAGTAGTACAATCTATTGACATTTATCTTTTTACTGATGCAAAACTCGGTGTGAGGGGGCCCCTCTCTCGCTGGCCGTCGGTGTGAGGGGGCCCCTCTCTCGCTGGCCGTCGGTGTGAGGGGGCCCCTCTCTCGCTGGCCGTCGGTGTGAGGGGGCCCCTCTCTCGCTGGCCGTCGGTGTGAGGGGGCCCCTCTCTCGCTGGCCGTCGGTGTGAGGGGGCCCCTCTCTCGCTGGCCGTCGGTGTGAGGGGGCCCCTCTCTCGCTGGCCGTCGGTGTGAGGGGGCCCCTCTGCTTTTGACATAGATCTATGCGACAATAAACCTGAAAGTAATCACATTTTTTTTCTTTTTGTCTCGTAGCACTTTGGAAAGTGTGATTTGTCAGTCTTGTCAACCAGGATCTTTTTCCAATGCGAGCGGGTCCACGTTGTGTACACCATGTGAAAAAGGTATGGCCATGTATGTACGAACACTAGAGTAGAACCTATGAGTTTAAAGCCCAACTCTGGCAGCTGAAAAATGTTCAGCTTTGTGCCCCCACCCCAGCTCATGCTGAATATATTCCTTGTTTTGTCATGAGGATAATGTGAATAAAACTCACCTTAGTCAACGGTCCCGCACACCAGTTCCAGTAGTGACAGCTGGCCCTACAAAGCCTCACTTTGCCAGTCTCTAGTTGCGTCGCCTCCCTTACATCACCGCATCTGAGGCAACCACTGGTCCAGCATTGTAGGTGGTGATGTCAGAGTGCCTGACCATATTTCTGTGTGAGAGCAAAGAGGACCAAAGTGCCTGTAGCCACTAGACTGTGGAATAAAGTAAGCGTTCCTCTTTTCGATCATCCCATAGACAAAACAAACACGTTAGTCTGTGTCAGCTGGGGGAGTGTGTATGTGTGTTGGGGACATTTCATTAGGAGTGCTCTGCTCTCTCTGCTTAAAAATAACCTGTTATGATGAGCCAACTTGATCTGCCAGCAGTTTCTGATTGGGCCCCTCTGTCAATCTGCAGAGAAATTTTCTAGCATTCTTACATTTTTGCCACTATGGGTTTTATAAGGAGACCGGGAAAACCAGTCCTATGAATTTAAATAGGGGAGTGCTTTGGTTTTTGTCTTGGGTGGATGACGTGGAATCATCTGACAGATTAAGCAACACCAGAACAAAGCACCAATGTTTCCCTGCAGTCTGTGCTTCTCTCCACCTTGTAATGTATTCATAGATGTGTGCACAAAGTAGACCCTGCACAAGCTGCTATTTTAAGATCAACAACATTCTTGCTGCACAGAACTGGATGGACTTTGATCCGTGGATCTGACAAGGGGGTCAATCAGCATATTAAACATGCAGAATTGATAAACTTATAAAAGATTTTGACTCATGGTTCTGGCATCTCTAAGCACCAGACTTTTTCCCCTAATTGGAGCACTTTCTCCAATCTAAATGTAAGGGGTATGGTATTGTTCAGGCTAAGGGTTTCCTTGCTGACACATCTCTTTTATCATGAGGGAGAAATTAAAGGAGATCTCCATTTAAAGAGACCCTGTCACCAAACTAAACCCACAGAAAGATCAAGTATTTTAAACAAGTACAGTGGGTTTTTTTTTTGTGCTGGTCCAGCTCCTCTGCTCCTCTTCAGCCCCCATATAACCTTTTTATAAAGCTTCCAGGGGAGGAGCAAAGGTGATTTTTCTATAGTGTATCACTTGAGTAACAGTTCTGAGTCTGTTGGGGTTGCTGGCATCACATCCAAGATGGTGACCAGCCGGAGTTTGAGGGCTTTTGGATGTCTACACAAGGGAGGCTCTTTATAGATGTATAACATGCATAATATATGCTATTCATGTTCCCATATCTTCTGGGAAGATTTTTTTAAATGGTCTGGTGACAAGGTCTTTTTAAAGGACCTCCAATACAGCTGACTGGGGTTGCATGATACCGTTTTTGGAATGTTAATGTATTGAGCACCGGACAACATGCATATTCACATGGGATGATCATGCATGCTTGTTCCTCTGTTGATGCCAATGAATGGCGATTGGCTGCGAAAAAAACACTAACCATCTTTTTTAAGGCTTGTTAGTTCCCATAAGGGCCATTACGATTGGAGTGCGAGGTGGTTCACAATTCCTTCCTCATTATTCATGATGTAACCTGAGTTTTGTTTCTTCTTTAAGGCTTCTTTTCTTCAGTTGAGAATGCCACGCAATGCCAGCCATGTGCACCGGGGTCATTTTGCAAGTAAGTAATTTTTTTTTCTTCCCTCCTTAGACTGTATATTTTCAAACAGAGCTATTTCCATTCTGTTTGAACTTTAGTCCAAGGTTACTAAAGCTGTAGTAAAGGTACACATCGTGCTGCTTCCAATAAATCCAAGACGGTAAGTAAAACCTGGTGAAGATGGGAAGTCCACTTGGTTTTCCTTAAATTGCTGAATTGTGGCCTAAAAATGACACTAAACTCAGGAGTTCAATCTTAAAAATACATTCAAGTACCTTAGCTATTATAAAAAATGTATCTTATTTGTGTATCACTCGGCTGAAGATCCTCAAATCATCTCTGAATTGGTGCTGACACTGTCCTTCCTTCTGGAGGGTGGAAACAGTATATTTATTTTATATTATGAACTATAAAGATAGCCATGTTGGATTAGAAATTGTCTTTCGTTCCCTGTGTTTGTTATAAAGTAGTCACCGCTCCAAGCTTGCTCTCCTGACAGACTAAAATCTCAATACAAATGAGTAAACTAAAACATGGCATTGTAGTCCATCACGGGAGGGAGCTTGGAGCTGTGACTACTTTACAACACACACAGGGACCATGGGGAACAAAAGTAGCCCCCCTCCAGAAGGAAGGACAGTGTCATCACCAATTCAGAGATGATTTGGGGATCTACAGCCGAGTGCTACACAAATAAGATACATTTTTGTTAATAGTTGGGGTACTTGAATCTATTAAGTTTTTTAACTGAGTTTTTAGCATCACTTTAAAGGCTAAGTTTACTTTAAGTAGGGTTCCTGCAGGCTTGTACTCGCTTCCTCCCACCCCTTTACTAAAAATCTGCACCTCCTGTATAGATAGGGGCTGATTGCCGTTGCAATGCTTTGCAGACTCAAATAATATAATAATTTAAAACAAAAAAATTCAAGCAGGAAGGTGTTTTATTACAGAAGAGACATACTATGCCCTGCAAGGGTACTAGAGTACATTGTTTTGCTGGTATTTTGTAGACTTTTGTTCCTCTTGCATCTGAGTTCTTTGCAACCCAGACCATTCGGATTCTAGAGAGTTTCTTGCATTTAGTTATGGGGGAGTCTTCTTCCTAAAGCCTGGATTCTAAATTGTCCTCTCTGTGTGTGCTTCGTGTTTCATCCAAGAAGCTTTGACTTCTATTGGTGGCTTCTATAAAGCTGTCCATGCATGTTACAGTCTAATTGTACACCCTGCTATAGGTTTGGTAACAACTATGTAATGTGTAATGCCTGCCTGGATATAAACTGAATGGGCTCTTTAAATAGGCGATTATACTACCTAGTTGTGGGTAAATGTAAAGACAATTGCAAAGTTCTGCAAGCAGCATTTTAACAAAAGTGCATCTCCCCTAGAAATGAATGAAGCTGCATGACACACTCACAATAGAGGTATTTGAAATGCAGTTTATAGAGGAGGTGACTTCTCTCGCTGGGAAACAAATAGAAAAAAAAGTTGAGGACCTATAAAGGCGCATTATATTTGGTGGATTGTCTTTGACTGCGGCAGGGCCAGTATTCTGTGAGCTTCTCTAGGGGCAGAATGGCATTGGATCTTGTATTTTTTTTGCTTTTGTGTGTGCTGTAATACACACGTCCTGATATACTAATTTTGTGTTTCACCAGTACGACCCACTGCAACGGCTGTGCCCTGTGCCCTGCTGGAGAGGAGGCTCTGAATGGCGGCTCTGCAGACTGCACTCCATGTCGTCCTGGTAAAATACATATACATATTCCCATGATGTTGAAGGATAAACTCCAGGCAAACGGCTTGATACACAGATGAAATATACCGATCAGCCATAACATTATGACCAATGAGAGGTGAAGTGAATGACGTTGATTATCTCACTACAATGGCACCTGGAAGTGGGTGGGATATATTGGGCAACAAGTGAACATTTTGTCCCTGAAGTTGATGTGAAGCATCAAAATGGGCAAGCGTAAGGGTCAAATTGTGATAGCTACACAAGTGGATCAGAGCAACTCCAAAGCTGCAGCTCTTGTGGGGCGTTCCCAGTCTGCAGTAGGCAGGAACTACCAAAAGTGGTCCAAGGAAAGAAAACTGGTGAACTGGCGCCAGTGTCACTGGCGGCCAAGGCTCATTGATCCACGTGGGCAACGAAGGCTGACCTGTGTAGTCTGAACCAATAGAAGCACTACTGTAGATCAAATTGCTGAAAAAGTTCATGCTGGTTCCTATAGAAAGGTGTCTGAACATACAGTGCATCAGTTTGTTGCGTAAGGGACAGCGTAGCCACAGACTGGTCAAGGTGCCCATGCTGACCCGTGTCCACCACCAAAAGCACCTACAATGGGCACATGAGCATCAGAACTGGGCCACGGTGCAATGGAAGAAGGTGGCCTAGTCTGATGAATCCATGTTTTTTTCTTTTACATCATGTGCAGGGCCGGGTGCGTGTGTGTTGCTTCCCTGGGAAAGAGATGGCACCAGCATGCTCTATGGGGAAAAAGGCAAACCAGCAGAGGCAGTGCGATGCTTTGGGCAATGTTCTGCTGGGAAACCTTGGGTCCTGCCATTTATGTGGATGTTACTTTGACACGTACCACCTACGTAATCATTGTTGTTGACCAAGCAGTGGCCTCTTTCAGCAGGATCATGCGCATGGCAAACATGGTTAAAGAATGTAACAAAGTAAAAACAGTGAAGCACCACGGACTGTCAATCCTTAATGGAAATTCCTTTTAGGCATACTGCAGGATGCTGCCCCAAAGAAGCCGGGAAAGCTGGGAATCTAGGAAATAAGCACAAGAGGGGTGCCTTTCCTGGTGCAGATCAATTTTATTTCAATAAGCATGAATAAAAAAAACCCTTGTGCTTATTTCCATGGTTAAAGAATGGTTTGAGGAACAACATATGTTTGAGGTGTTGACTTTGCCTCCAAATTCTCCAGATCTCATTTCAGTCGAACATATAAGCAAGTATGGTCCATTGAGGCGCCACCTCACAACTTAAAGGATCTGCTACTGACGGCTTGGTGCCAGATATCATAGCAAACCTTCAGAGGTCTAGTGGAGTCCATGCCTCGATGGGTGAGGGCTGTTTTGACGGCAAAAGGCGGACCTACAATATTAGGCAGGTGGTCATAATAGATAAAGTGTGTAAATTGTGCAGCGCTAAAAATTAAAGTGCATAATATATATAAAAATGTAAATATGGTTTTACACTGGATATTTAACACTGTGGACACACTGTATTTATAAGGATTTAAATTGTTATACACTGTATATTATAGATTTGTCTTATTATCTAATTTATATATATTTATATATTTAATTATATATATTTATATATTTACATTTTTATATATATTATGCACTTTAATTTTTAGCGCTGCACAATTTACACACTTTATCTATTTGGACCCCAGGGTTGAGAGCGCAGCTGCTTTGCTATCAGGATATTAAATCAGGGCTATCCATAAAACGCGGATCCACATCTTTTACTAGGTGGTCATAATGCTATGGCTGATCTGTGTGTGTGTGTGTGTGTGTGTGTGGGGGTGGGTGTAGCTGGCTGGT